TTGAATGCAAGCCAAAATATGAATTTCAAGGAAGATAATAAGCAAAAGAATGACTCATATCTAATGGCCAGAAAGCCCATTTTATGAGCAGAGCATGAACAAATGTGAGTAATCAGAGGGCACATAAAATCTCAGTAGACCTAGTGTGTGGGGAAAAAAGCAAATTGAGGGATGAGGCTTCAAGACTTCAAACCTCATCCACACTTGAAACCCTATATGTTGCCACCAACCTTTCTGAAACCACACAGAGGCCATCATTCCACCCTAATCATAATATTATACCTAGCATTCATCAGGCTGTTCTAAACACCCAAATTTTACACATTTTTTTATGCATTATCTCATTTAATTTTCACAGTAATACCTTAAAGTAGGTCTTTTTACCATCTTTATTTGGTAGATGAAGAAAATCTGGTTCGGGAAAGTTAGGTTAGGACCAATGATTTTTAGGTTGCAAATGTAGGAATGACAGGCTCCTCTGCCCAGAGCCCAAGCTCTTTATGCAATTCTGTGCCTTCCCCCTCAGAATTGCCTCTGCTGATTATGCATGTCCCTACTGCTGCAGTTATCCCATCACATCTACTATGTGTATATCTCTCAGTTACTTCACTGTGAGACCCCAAACACTAAGTTTGAAATAATGGAGACAATGAGTAATTGTAAATTGAATCAAATTCAATCTGACTTCAATTTAGTTTAGACCATTGGACTTGGTAACCATTCTGTCTGAGACCAAAGCTTGGCTTGCCAATTAATTACTTCTGTAAACATGAATAAATTATTCAACCTCTGGTAACTCACAATCTAAATGAAAATAACAACTACTCAACTTTATATATTGGTTGAGCAGAATCAGTGAATATAAATATAAAGGTGTCTAGAGCAGTTCCTGGCACATTAGCAATATAGAAGTCTATGAATTTACTAGGTTAGGAAAAGCTGAACGGGTTGATATATAAATTTCAGAATTTTCATGTTGGACAATTCATTAAATTTTCCAAATCTCAGTTTACAAATATATAAAATTTAGAAACTGAAGAGATGATCCATGAAGATTCCTCATTCAACAATCTAAAACTGTATACATAATTAGTACACTAAACTTTGTTGTTAAGCTCATGCTTTAGTTATGAAGAATCTTGAAATACATGTTAATGCTATAATAAAATAATGCATATGGTATATAAACATTTTAATTTCACTGCAATCTCTACTATGTTTAATGCTCTGTTCCTCCATTTCTCATTACTATAGGGTATCTCCTGATTCCCAAATAACATTGATGGAGAACAGAACAGAAGTGACACAGTTCATCCTCCTAGGACTAACCAATGCCTCAGAACTACAAGTCCCTCTCTTTATTATGTTTGCTCTCATCTACCTCATAAATGTTGTTGGAAACTTTGGGATGATCATACTGATTCTCTGGGACTCTCGCCTCCACAATCCCATGTACTTTTTCCTCAGTAACCTGTCTCTTGTAGACATTTGCTACTCTTCAGCTGTCACTCCCAAGGTCATGAGTGGGCTCCTTGTAGGAGACAAGGTCATCTCTTACAATGCATGTGCTGCTCAAGCATTCTTTTTTGGAGGCTTTGCCAGTGTGGAAAATTTACTCTTAGCCTCAATGGCTTATGACCGCTATGCGGCAGTGTGCAAACCCCTACATTACACCACCACCATGACTACTCATGCGTGTGGATGTCTGGCTATAGGCTGCTATGTCGGTGGTTTCCTAAATGCCTCCATTCACACTGGGGAAACATTCAGTCTCTCTTTCTGTATGTCCAATGTGGTCCATCACTTTTTCTGTGATGTCCCAGCAGTCATGGCTCTGTCTTGCTCTGATAGACATGTTAATGAGCTGATTCTTGTTTATGTAGCCAGCATCAATATCTTTTTTGCCCTCCTACTTATTTTGATATCCTACCTATTCATATTTATTACCATCCTAAAGATGCGCTCATCTGCAGGATATCAGAAGGCTCTGTCCACCTGTGCCTCCCACCTCACTGCAGTCCTCATTTTCTATGGGACTATTATCTTCATGTACATACGACCAAGCTCCAGTCACTCCATGGACACAGACAAAATTGTAGCTGTGTTTTATACTATGATCATCCCCATGCTGAACCCTGTAGTCTATAGCCTGAGGAACAAGGAAGTCAAGAGTGCACTCAATAAGGTTGTTGACAAGGCAAAATTGTCCCTAGGTTTGCAAGTTTAACCTTGCAGGATGCATGATAATCTAGTGTCCTTCCTTTCTGATTTTCTCCAGGAACTTAGTGATATTTAAGGCCCACACTGAAGTTAAATTCTAAATGGTAATGCTATCTAGAAGTCAAATTCTAGAAGTAATACTCTTACCTATTCAAAAGTCTGTTTTTAAAAAAGATAAAACAAAATGATTAAAAATGTAATACCAAATGAGAAAGGCTAAAAGGAAGCTTCAAATGTTTTGGTTTTGCTTGTCAAAAAACTTATTAAGGAGATTTGATTGATTCACTCTTTCTACATGCATTTTTGTCTATCATTTGCCACTAACACACATGTAAAGCAGGGTCAAAAATAAGCCCATGAATGGAAGTGCATGTTTGTGACTCATGTGGGCACATACACATGGGGGCAGAAAATTAGTCAGAGGTAAATGGAATATGGCTAGTTTCTAATAAAAATAAATAATTAATTGAGATATTAGAATATACATTTATGATTAATGTTACTATTTTCTTCAGTTGAATAACTGTTCTAAGAGTTCTAATTGGAGGGGAAAAGTGACAAGGTTTTAAATGAAAGTATGTGCTCATACAATTGGCGTATTTTATTGAGAGATATATAACTAAAGTATCTTGAATAAATTGATATTCTGTCTTAACTGAGTCATTTTACAGAATGCACATTTTCACAATGCACTTTTCAAAAGGATAAAATAGCTAAAGCATAATAAAAATACAGGAAAAATAAGGCTTTTTAAAACTTATTCATATATGCCTGCCAATATTCAGACTATGTTAGAAATGCTCAGACATGTTAATAATGTTCTACATTTTTCTCACTACAAGAACTTTGAAATGGTTAATGTTGCTCATTAATTCTTAATTTAGTTGAGTTACGTCACCTCTCGTCACTGCCCCGGCCTTTTACTCCTCTTCATTCACACTGATCTCCCTGATGTCTCTTCACAACTTCAAGCATGCTCCTGTCTCAGGGGATTTGTACTTCCTGTTTCCTGTGTGTGGAAGTTTCCGGCACTTCATTCAGGTCTCTGCGTAAAGAAATGTTAACCTCTCATGGAAGCCTTCCCTGACCACCTTTACAAAATATCCATTCTTCCCTCGCCATGTACACTGTCCCCTCACCCTGTGCTATTCTTCATAGTTCTTTTTTAAATATATGTATACAATATTTATTTTATTTTTATATATTTTTTATTATGAATAGTCATGAGACACAAAGCTAATTGTCACCCCTCGTGCCCACGATGTAAGGGCCAGATTCACACTGGGAGCATACCCATCATCAGAAATTACTTTTGTACCCCGTGTCCCCCACACAACTATTCCCCCACCTTCCTCACCCTCCCCCTTTTCCCGTATTCCACTTTGTAGCCCTAGGAACATTCCCACCCTCTATAAGACCAACACACCACTGTGGTCTTTCTTTCCTTTTTTTCTTTCTCTCTTAGCTCCCACATATGAGTGAGCACATGTGGTATTTATCCCTCTGTGATTTGCTTATTTCACTCAGTGTAAGTTTCTCCAGGCTCATACATGTTGTTGGAAATAGGAGTATTTCATTCTTTTTATGGCAGAGTAATATTCCATGGTATAAATATATATATATATATATATATATATATATATA